CTCCGCCCGGCCCGCAGGTAACGGACCGCGTCTGCAGCCAATGAGGAGGCGGCGCGCCGGCACGTGCTGCCCCGCGGCCAATCCGCGGCCGCCACACCCTGCGGACCGAGAGAACGACAAGTCCCAGCGCGCTCCGCGGCGGGCGCGGCCGCAGGGGCCTCGCACGGGCCCTGCGGGGCTGGGGCGGTGCTGCTGCCGCCCTGACCGCAGCACGCAGAAAAGAGGCCTCCGAGGCTGCAGGTTTTGTCTCCAAACAAGCCTACAACAATATTTAAACGTAGAGGTTAAAGAGGGTCATCCAGTCCTGGGCTGGTTTGAGGCAGCGGGTTGACAAGGTTCTGGGGTAGGAAGGGGCAACCACCAGCCCCCAGGGTATTTCATACTCGGGGATAACCAGGAAGGACAGGGAAGGTCACTGGAGAAGATCAATGTCCACCTGAACCTCTCCTGTGCTCGGAGGGGGAAAAAAAAATCCAGACAAACATCTGTGATTCTCCAGGATACCCGCAGGGCCCACAGCTGCAGAAACTCTCAGTCTTCACTACTGCAAATGATTTCCAAATATAATGGTATAAATCTGAAAGCTTATCACAAAGTAGAAGTCAAAGCACAGAGCTGACAAAGGAAATAGGGCGACTCCCATCTTTTGATAAATACCACTATTAAAAAAAAAAAAAGGAAAATAAAAATAGCATTTCCACAAAAAAGTGAGACATCAATAAAGGAAAGAAATACAGGAATTTGTCTCCTCCAGACCTGCCTTCACTAACCCCCCCACTAGCCCTGAGCACTCAGGTGGGTCAGGCCAAAGCGCTGTGTCACCCCATTCCTGTGTACAGACATTCTTTTAAGAGATCTACAGAGCGAGTTGTGCTCTCCTGCATTCATTTCTTAAAGAAGTGACTCAATTTCCTCTCTTAAGCTTCAGCCCTAATAGGGTGGAAGCAAGCAGGTAACCAACAGATCATCCACTAGCTGTCCAACAACAGCAACCGAGGTAGAAACACACTCTTTGCTCCTCATATATGCCAATTTTACAGACACGGGGCTTCCCCCACTGCCTTCAGCAAGTCTCATCAACAAACAAGACTTCCCACATTTGAGTTTTGACCTCCGGGGAGCAAAGGGAACATTGTTGTCAGTAAGAATAAGGACCCTTCTGTCTAGTGCTCAGGCAATAGCGTTGCAGCTGCATGGGCTGTGCTGGCACAGGACAGGTCTCTGCTGGGGGAGGGAAAGGAAAAATAAAAATAAAAAAGAGCTCTGTCTCAGAAACAGCAAGGCTAACATCTGTGCGACTTCACCCTTGCTGCTTTCTTCTGGAAACTGCAATCACAGAGCACATTTGTAAAAAATCCATTACAAGGTAGACTACAGGAAGCAGTATGAACGCTGCGCTCTAACATTGTAAATATAGTAGATGCTGCCTGGAACTGTGAACTAGTTAAACATCTACATGTATTTATCTGTGATTCTGTGAGAAGAAGGAAGGGGATGGAAGCTTCTTGGTCTCTAAGATATTAAATATACTTTGCTTACACTGCAAAGCTGGCAACAGGCAGTGATATTTATCTGTTATACAAGCAGTGTTTTGTTTCTACTAACCCCAAAGCTCTTCAGAACAAAGGCCGCAGAGAATCTTCTCTGTTGCCCTCCTGGCCATACTGCTGGATTTATCTATTCCTGAAGATAGAAACACAAGTATATTTACAGAGCAAGTCCAGAAGGGGATACGTTAAGACAAAATGACACTTGCCTTTATGTCTGTTTCTCAACACACTTCAAATAGGTTGAGTAGTCTTCATATTTCCATGTAAAAGAGAACAGATACCAAGAGGCTGATCCAGTTTCTGTGGAAATTGAAACACTGAAAGGAATTCCATGTGGTTAAGTAACAAGCTAATTTCAATGTGAAGACCATCCTTTGTTAGATGTGTATTTGATGATATTTTCATGATTATCTTACACAGTGTTTAGGTTTCATCCACCTTGGTCATTTGTCTCCAAGTGCAGATGGTTCCAGGAGAGGGAGACAAGTAGAAAGTGATGTGAGCAATGCTGTTTACACACATTCTCACCTATGTCTTCTAAAAAGGAAGATTAATTTGGCTTATAGATGAGGCCTCTTCCTAGGATTCCCTCCCTACCACCCAGGCAAATTCTGACACATAGACGGTCCTTAAATTGCACAGGGGAGCTCTTCCAATCCTTTAGATCCCAATAGCAAGACTGGGTAGGCACAAAGTCTCTGGCGCATTCCTAGTCCTTGCAATACCCATAGGCTGACAGTGGCCCATGCTGGGTCAGAGGGATAGCACAGAATCTCACTGTGTGGCTTAAGGGAGATGTTAGAGGGGAGACTGGAGTTTTATGCTAAGTGTGGAAGAAGTCCCTGACAGTCTTCAGACAACCCAAAGCAGCTTGGTAATACAGCACATTCTTCAGCTAGTGGGAGGTCTCACCCTTCTTCTAAAAATGGTGGGGGTGGCTCAGCCTGAGGAGGTCACCCACTGCTAGACAGAAACTTCCACCACTACCTCAGACACACCATGAGGCAGAACACAACTCCAGGCTTCCATGCTGCTTACAACAATGCCCAAGAATAACATGATGAAAGATATTAAAATTAAAACAATGCAAGAAGCTGATGCTTCCACAGGTCATATGCAGCATGTCAACCATTTATGACTTGGACTCATTAATCCCTGTACCACTTTTAGCCAAATCACAGAGGCACGAAGAATACTTCAGTTTCCCATCTTTAGATATCACCTCTCACTCTTCCTTAAGCCCCAGCACTTCACTAAGTATGCTTTTGCAATGGGGTCCAATACTCTGAAAACTTATTTATGTCATTTCTCAAATTTTGAAGACAGACTTCTTTTTACTATAACAAAACATGTCTTTGTGGAGCACAAAGCGTGCCATGTTCATCACACTCCGAGCTCTCTGGACAACAGAGGTAAAAGACATGAGTTTTCAAGTGCAAAAGGTGCATGCAAATGGTGAAGCATTTCCATTGAATGGTGGTCAGTATTCACGCAGGGACAATAATTTAACTCAACTAGCTAGTCTTTCTCTGTAGACAATGAAGAGAGACACACCTCCAGAGTATGGAATAAATTCTCTCTACAGCCCTCGGGTAACAGGGAAAAGGTTACCATGTCAATATACGACGTCTTCTAACCGGTACCCAAGTTACAACTGTAATTATTGAAAGAACAAGATTCATCCAACAACATTAATAAAAATCTCTTTTTAACTTGGTGCAGAATATACAGACAGCAGCATTCGAGGTAATTTTTGAGAAACAGTAGGCAATTCTGGCAATTCCACTTCAAAATGATGCTGAAACATTGTGTTCCACATGAGAACTAAAGCAGTACATGAAGTGTGGAAAATATACCTTGCAGCAAGAGACTAAACAACTCCATTTGTTTTCTCTGAGAATCAAGAGGTACTTGCACAGGAAAGAGGTTTCTATCAGTAAACAGTTCCTGTATTTGTCAAACAAGGCAGTAGCTTCAAGACCTGGAAGCTGAAACTAGACAAATTCAAACTAGAAATCAGGTAGACATTTTCAGAAGGGCATATAATGAACTAGAACAATTTATACAGGGCTTCAGCAAATTCAGTGTCTTCAAAATAGAAAAATAATTCTGTATTCAGATGCTAGCAGTTTCATAAGATCTCACCATGTAATTTCACTGTGGCTTATTTTATACAGAAAATAGTGACTTTAAGCTTTTACTAATCTATGATTGAAAGTGTGAAGTGTCTTGGATACGTAAGTGTTCCTTGTATTGAGGTATTTTAACTTTGAACAAACACAAGCAGAGGAAGCAGAGAGAAGTGTGCCTGACCTAAGTGAACAGCACCGTAGGTAATCACAGAAGGTCTCCTGGTATCCAAAATAGGCAATGGTCAAGGTCACTGTAGTGAGAATGTGACAAAACCTTGGTTAAACCCTGTTTGAGATGCCTGCTAGAATTGCACTTGGTTAATAGAGAGTGCACAGTTAGGATTTCATAATAAAACCATGGCAGCATAATTACTGATATAAGCTTGACAGAGTAATGCGTGCAGCTAACAGGAATTATACTTAATATATCATCCAACATGATTATGAAATGCTAAAAAGATAAGTTAGTGATATTCCATTTTATTAAAGCTTTCAGAGCTTTTCCACAAGTGATATTTCTAGATCCCATATCACCCTGTTGAAGGCCACAATGAAATAAGGTAAACAATAGCTTTGATTTTCAGAAAAGGGAAGATAACCGTACCTCTTGCCATCTACTTAAATAAAACTGATTTGCCGAATTAACTTTACTTTAACATATCAGGAAGAAAAAAAAAAAAACAGCAAAGATAGGGCCCATAAACAGTTTCCATTTAATCTCAATCTAATTTTCCAGTCAAAGTCTATGATAGATCATGATAGAAACTAGCCTGAAGCATTAATTTATTCTGTATCAGCAAGATGAAGGCTTCTCTCCACAAACACGCTTCCAATTATTTATGTCTTCAAAATAAAAATGCACTCCTTGTTCACAAGGAGAGCGAACGTACCTGAAGAAGCACAGAATATTTTCAGCAAATCTTACTCTGCTTCTGTGTTTTAGAGAACAAATCTTATGAAAATAGCTATCTGATGGGATCTCAGAGATGAGAACAGAAACACTAAAAATCTTGCATTTTTTAATCAGAAAATGGTCTGTTAGGTTCAGCCAACATTTCCCTGTTCTGATGCATGTGTATGCAAACATAAAGCTGATCTGATGCATTTCAGACAGTTGTAATACAACAAATAATTTTTACTTTTGATTATTTTGCTTTGCCCCCTCTCCAAGTGTTTGCTGCGCAGCTTTTAAGCAGCTTCCAAACCCCTTATGTGCTCACTCCAGAAAAGAACAAAACAAAGACAAGGTACCAAGTTAGCTCTTCCACGTGCCTCTAGCGGGGACACTGAAAAACGGCCAAAAGGGCTAAACTTGCCACAAAGCTTAGTTTAATTTGACAATCATCATAAGGCATCCGTGTAAATTAAAAATTCCCACCAGGGTGCCATACATTCTCCCACAAAATAAAACATGATAAAATGGAGGGCTGTGATTCCAAATGATGCTAGTGGTTACTGGTCTTGGCCAGGCTGCCACTGCTGGCAGTGGGGTCTAGGAGACCGATAGTGGCAACTCAGGAAGTGGAAAGTCAGTTTGCACAAATCTCTTTCAACAAATAAACAAATAAAAGGGAAGAAAACATCATTCTCCACCCTCTCTAGGAAAACTAAACAGAACAAAAAAGATTATTCCATTCAAGGCGTATAGGGCAGAGCTTGGAAATCTCAAGCCCAGCAACGCAGGGGGCCCGTTTTGAAACCTAATGAAGCACTAAAGAGGCCTGAGTTTATTATTGCTTTATCCCAGTTCATCCCAGGCTAAGGCTATAGTGAAATCCAAATTAATTTAAAGCCATAAAATGCAGATCCAGCAACAGCACCTAAGTCCCCATCTACACATGGGTGTAAACAGATTTTTTGGTGAAAAAAAATCTCCCAAATTTCCCCTCTCTTGCTGTGCTATATAGATCCTCATAGCAGTGCTAAGGTTTCCCAAAAAGGATGCAACAGATTCTCTCATGTGTCCTTCAGCTGTGCCTGTTCCAAAGGTCTGCCCTTTTATTTAAAATATCGTGGTCATGTATCAGCCCAGAGACCATTACTGGGAGCTCACCAAGAGGCACACAAATGGCCCACGTTTTAAAGAAGGTGGCACGGAGTACATCACTTGTACTGTGCAATTCCCCCGGGCAGCACCAGTAACCCAAACTCGGCCCGTAGCACTTGTGAGGCCAGATGGCACAGGCAGGAGAATCTCTCCATGCCCTGGGCCTGGCTCGTGATCAGGAGCTGGGCAAGGGAATTGGCATCTTCCACGTCCATGAGTCACAGAACAGACTCAGGGAAAGTGGGGCTTAAAAGTTTCACATCAAGAAAGAGGGTGCTTCCCTCAGACTATCATATGACTAAGAGGACTGAGCAACAGTTATTCAGGCAATTGTTATTCAAGGCAATAAAATTTTAGCATGGATATCTCCATGGTTGACTTCCAGGCCCAGCACATGCTAAGGCTCTTATAAAAATTAAACAAAAGGTCCTGTTAATTCTTCCAAAAGGACAGAATGGAAAATCCACAGTGCATCTGAAGAACGCACATGCTACAAATCCTTAGACGCCAACAAAGGTTGCAGCTAGACTTGTCAAAACAGTTAAAAAGATTTAGGCATTCAGTCATTACCAGACTTGATGGCATTTGGGCACCTAATTTTTAAACTTTTTCTGAAAATTTGAGCTTAAATGTTTCATTATTGCTTGTCACAATGAGTGCAAATGAGGGTAGAGTTAATTATGAAGGATTTCAAATCCTTTATAAGATTTCCCTGCTCTTCATATATATATGAATATATATATACACACATCTATATATTCATGTATATAGATATGTATATACATAAAACATTATTATTTATTCATCTGGGGAAAAAACCCAGGCATTATTTAAAATTAGTTACTCAATTATTTAAGCATTAGTCCCCTACCTCCCAAATCACAACACTTCTGTCACAGTAAGGAGCATAACATGAAAACATTTTCCTGCCACTTAAAATTCCTGAGTCGCTCCTTTGCAGAACCCTGCCCCAAATATCAGGATAATGGCAGATACATATACACTCCCCAGCAACACAGACACAGCAAGCAGGATGTGCCTCAGTGGCCTCAAACAAAGGAAACTCAGAGAAATCATCCAGAAGAGCCTCAGGAATGAGAACTATCAATTTTCCCTGCAGAAACAACTGCCCCGGAGTCCCTGCTCTGTATAAACTGAATCAAAATACCCATCCCACAGCTGAAGGAGATCTCTGAAGCCTGGCAGTGTCACATGCTGTGTACTTGAAGGCACATTTGTTTTGTGTTTTGGGAAAAGAAATCCAGTTACACCAATACACCGCAGCTGCAGGGCTGAGGGAAAGATGTGACACACTGTATCCTTCCTGTGTTCCTGTCCCCATTTTCAAGCTTCATGGCTGGCATGAGCTGGTGATCTAAGCAGACACATTAACATCCCTGAGTGAAATGGCACCATTAGTGGCCTCTGAGACTTTGTCCTCAAGCACCATTGCTGGTGTGTCTGTAGTGACTGCTGTAGTGTCTATGGCAGGAAGTGGATTCAAGCCCTGGGATAAGATCTGCTGGATGGTTTTCCGCAAATTGGGGTGCAGCTGGTTTTGGGTCTGGTAAAAAATTTCTAAGGCAAAAGACTTCAGGGTGCCAGTGCAAAGGTCCTCATAAAGTGGAATTGTGTACATCCGAGACATCTGCAAAAAAGGAAAACTGGATAATACCACTTCAGTGAAAGGCAAGAGATTCAGCCATTCTACAACTACTCAGACAGCCTTAAATAACTTCAGGTTGGAGACTAATGTCACCTTTCTCACAATGTGGACAAGTCTGTTCTAAATAAATTTAATACAATGATTTTTACAAATGATAATAAAAAGCACTTGTTCTCTAAGACTGAGCTATTTCCACAAATAACAAGTGCTAAAAAGCCCAGGGAGAACAAGCCACAGCAAATGCCTGCATTAACCTTTTGCTCCTGCACAACAAAACAACTATTGAATTTGATGAGCCCTCGCCTTGCCTGACGTGTAAATATTCACAGAAAAAAAAAAAATCACGTGATTCAGTACTGTGAAAAATTCCGCTCTAGAAATCCAGGGCTGCTACAAAGCAACACAAAAAAATAGGCACTGGGCAGAGCTGGGACGAGGGTATTGAGTTAGGCTAGAAAAGCAGAGATTAATGGTAGGCAATTCAAATGACATCTGCCCATTCCTCCCCACCCGCTAGCAGGTGAGCCACGCTCGGTCCTCTCGCAACACACCTGGTCTACACTTGGCCAGGAAGCAGAAGTTCCAAGGTCTTTCACGTCGCATGTCTCATGCACATGTCTCATGCACTGAGAGGTGCAGTGATTTTAATCCAGCAGTTAGTACCTGGTTTTCCAAGAAGCGACGGACTTTGTAAAGGTCTGGATAATAGTCATTTCGGACTACAATCTGCAGCCAGCGGATACGGATCTCTGCATTCATGGAGTCCAGCTGAGAGGAGTAGCATTCCGAAAGCTTTTTTATCACCGCTGAAGAGAGCAGATACATAGAGAACACATTACTGCGACATATTTTGTCATGTTTGAGAGTTATTAGACAATGAATGAATGATAAAGCAACTTGGGGTGGTGTTTTTTTTTTTTGTGATAGTTGAAGAAAATAAAGAATTCGAGTCTTTAACCCAGAAATACTTTTCTACCACTCTGATAAATACCTACCGTGTGGCAGTGGTGACCCATCCAGCAATCTGTCCAAGAAGAGCACAGTTTGAAATGTCCTCCACTTAGTGAGGTCAGCACTGCTGGCAGCAGCAGCAGAATCCAGCGGCTCGGTGGTCCAGAGTTTGAAGAGATTCTCCACTGGTCTGGTCAGACTGGATCCCTGAGATAAATCTGGCTCAGCTAAAGGAGGTCCTGTAGCATTGAGCCAACGTTCAAACTCCAGGCCTGGAATAAGGAGCACCAAAATGTGTCAAGCAGCAGTCTCCACAGATGGCTGGGCAGTCTCAGGGTTCAGAACTGCTTCTAGCACAGTTTTATAGAGAGATTCTAATGATATCAAAACAGATCAACCTATAGTTACAGTGTCACACCAGAAGCAGAATTCTGAGCCAGTCCCAATCATTCTTGGCAGATTCATCAGGGTAGTCTATACACCTGGGGAAGTGCCAGCAAAACCTCTGCCAAATTTAACCATGACATTATCTAGTTCTTGCAGATAAGTTATTGATAGTGATAAGTTCTTGAGAAACAAGTCTGCAGTTCAAAAAAAAAAAAAGAGAAAATTTGCTTCATAATAAAAGGAGGTGAAAGGGCTGATTAAATCCCATCTACTCCAAACAGCAAAAATATAAGCAATTTTTAGATTCATTTATATCACCTGGAACTAAAAACTTTCTTGATGAGTGACAGAACCAGAGCCTGTTTTCCAACAGAGCTGTCCCTCCTTAACTATCTATGAGGGAGTCCTCAGTGATTTCCTACCCTTCAAAACCCTTCTAGTTTCACACCATCCCCCCTAAACTCCTCTCCTGCATCCCCTGAACGGCAGCCAAGCAGAATTAGCACAGACTGTGGTTCTCTCATTAGCCAACTGGCAGGCCAAAGAAAACACAGCAGTGCTGAGCCACGCTGCAGCCTTCGCCACAGTAGGAGCATTAATCCACGTGTCTCTGCAGGCAGCTTCCACAGAGCTTGCAGAAACTTAGCAGAGCTGCATGTCCTCCACTGCCAATTTGATTTAAACTGACCAAATGGGTTTGATGCCAATTTGCAAGGGCAGACACATGGTGTAATCACAGCAGTCTCGCTTCTTTAAGAAAAGAGGCTAATAATCATCTAGTAGCCTACAGACCTTTGCAAATCCACCCACAAACAGAGGTTATAAGGAGAGGACAGCAAGAGAGAAATCATTGTGGAAGAGAGTTTACGTGCATAAAGGATCGTGGGAACTTGACAGTTTTCAAAGCATTTTTCTTGTAATAAAAATGCACTGAATTTTCAGTGCAAGTTCCCATTGTCATCTCCCTTTGTAGTAATGATGATTTCCACTTGAACATGTGTAAATGTCATATACACTGACCACTCTGCAGAGTGGAAGACAATCAGAACATTAACCAAGGGATACTCAGATGATGAAACTGATTTTAACGTAAATATCTGGCTTCTGACAAAGGGTTTTGTTTGCTTCAGACTTAGCATTTGCTCACACGTTCTAAGCCAAGAACTTAATTTATTGTCTAGAGTTTCTACAGTTTCAGCAGTTAGCTAGGAAGTTTCCTCTCTACCTGCTTTGCTCTCAACACATTGCTCTTTCAGCTCTGGAAAATAATTCAGGAAGGAATCCAGAAGATCTTGAGCCACAACACTGGTAAATTTGTATTTCTCAATGTAGGCCTGAAAAAGCATAGGTGACAAAGTATGGTTAGAAGAAAGCTTTCAGTTGATGGAGATCCATTGCACGTAATAATAATAATTTAAAAAGGGACAGAAGAATATTAAGAGGCATTTGAAGGGCAGGTGAGAGTTTAAAATCAAGAAAATGTCCCCCCCCCGACTGTAAGATGAGGAAAGAACCATAACAGAAAAAAGCTAAGGTAGCTGCAAAGATACTGAGAGCCGAGTAGAGATTTTTTTTTTCTGATCCAGATCAAGGACACACTAGCATACCTAGGGCAGGAAGAGTTTTATTGCACTTGTGGAAGCCAAGAGCACAACTTGCTACCAGTCACAGAGACTATGGACTAAAGTGATTCTGATGAAACTATGTAGGCAAGAAAGACAGAAGAGGGGATGGATGGAAAAAGGAGAAGAAAAAAATGCATGCAGCAAAAAGCAATGAGTTGTGTCACTTTTCAAAAAGAAATCATTAGGTGACAATTTTCAAAAGATTTTTGCAAATGTGCTCCAAGATAAGGAAAGTAAGAAATGATGCCTTTTGCAGGGAGTTGGTTTTCCATTCACACTGGCTTAAAAAGCAAATGCTGATAATTTTTAGTATTGAATAAAGTCACATAATTCCAGTTATAACTAATCCGGGATGAAGCAGATTTTTAATTATTGGAACACAGAAATAGAGAGAAAAAATATTATTTTCTGTGTACTTGGCAACCTCATAAGCTCAGAATCTGAGATGGAAGAAGAGCATGGGTGCATGCACTGAGAGAATCACCCCAGCATGGCAGAGGGGCCACACTATTCTTCCATCTCAGACATCCTTGTATTTTCCTTTAACATTAATCACCATGACATTTAGCCACAGTGACAAAACCCAAAGCCAAATCAATTCAAAATCTCAAGAGAGCACATTTTAGGTGTTGTAGGTACATATTCATACTAACTCTTAGGAAGGAGTCAAAGTGCCTTGGGTCTCCACAGAGCTGAGACAGGTAGTAAACAAAGCAGTAGCCTTTCTCATAGGTGAAGAGGTTCATTAGATTACTAGGATTTACACCTGAAAGGAGAAAGCGACAGCATTACAAAACACTTAAATGAGGACACTAGTTTCTAACCCTTCTACATGTGTCAACTATGAGCTAAAGGGTTCATAGTTGAGGTACAGTGACTTAAAAGCAAAACAAGTCTGTTACCAGTACATTTAATTTACTACTCAGTGTCATCTGAGAAGCAGTCCAAGCATACAACTGAAAAAAGTCAATGTCTGTAGGATAAATATTAATTCCCTTGTTCCCTAGTGGAACGAGCCACTTCAAATTCCTGGTATAGTTTTAGTGTCTCCTCATTTTAAAACAAAACCTCTTTTTTCAGACCCAAACTTGAAAACATCTGATAAACTACTACAGAAGTTTTTCACCCTTTGTTTCTGCCCAAGGAGTCTGCACATGCTATTTTAAATAGAACATTCATATAGATGAGTTAGCAAAATTTGAGGAAAATTTCACCCTAACTTCAGAAGCTGAAAATCAGAACATTCAGCTCATTGAAAGCAAGTTCCTTTATTTACCTATAGACTGTTTTACAAGCTAATTTCTTTTACAAATGGTATGTAAAAATTAGCCTTTTTTGGTCCATATCCCACACCGGTTTGGTCCATATTCCAGCATCTGTATATGGTGTATATAGAAATTCTATGTACAGTAGCTCCAGTAATACCTGGCTCCAGTTTAACCTGAAGCTTGCTGACAGGGTTGTCTTCTCCAAGGAGCTTCATCTGTCTGTGGAGAGCATCAAGGCGGAATGCAGTCTCCAAGCACGTGAAGGCAGCTCCTATCCCAGAAGGAAACAGGTTAGTTCTGGAAAAATGACTCCTGAATTACCACATGTACAAAATATTGACTACTGAAAAAAGTGAAAAACAATAGCAAGAAAGAATCACAAATCTAATGCCAAGGAAACTGACTGTAAAAATTCCTTGTTAGGGATACTATGAGAATGTTACCTCTTGGGTGCAAACAGAAAGGATTTAGGCTTAGCAAGTCTATTAAAGATCCTTCAGATATTTCTGAAGCTTTCACTAGCATCTTGGCCATATTGAATCATGTATTTTTCATTATCCACTCATCAGGATTTCATTAGTAGTTGCAGCTGAGCTGGCTACTCTTCCTCTAAGCGCTCTATAGCATGGTCCATGCTGCTGAAAGTGTTTCTACTCTCAAGTCAAAACTAGCTGTACTACACTGGAAAGTCAAGAGACCTCTTGCAGATGTAGAAAAGTTTGGGAAATGGATTAAGTTTTAGAAAATGCCTAACATCCAGGACCATTAACACAGCTTTAGATTAAGTTTTAGAAAATGCATCCAGGACCATTAACAGGACCATTAACAGGACCATTAACATCCAGGACCATTAACACAGCTTTCTTTGCTAAGTCTTAAACTTCACTGATAGTGCTAGTTACATAGGTATGATCTCAGAGTCTCACTGAACACAGAAGAAGTTGAAAAAAGAATCGGAATGAAGAACCAGGATATGTCTGTAAGATGGAAGAATCTCTATGGAGAAGAAAGGGGCAGATCTGCCTCTTGGGAGAAAGCAAGAGCCAAGACTTTAGGGCAATTACTTCAAGCTAGAAATAGGGAGGAGGATTAGGCAGGATCCAGAGCTATGGTGGTCACTACACTCCTATTTCTGTAAACAATGCCATTGTACAGATGCCTTTCTAAATAGCAGCAGAAGACACTCAAGAAATGACTTCAGAAAGGGTAAGATTTAGATTTGGAAATAAAACAGATTGCAGAAAAAAAGAGTTACATAAAGAATGACACAGGAAGTAACAGTTCTCAGCTTCCTGAACAATTGCTTTTTCAAACAACCAGTTTCAAATTTCAAGAGAACAGGCCCAAATCAGCAATGATCATATCCTATGCCAGACAGAAGCTAAGATGGGATAGATGATGCGAGAATATGCGCCCAAAGATATTTTTTGACCTACTCATATCATTGTCATGTGTAACATAACATGACTTAATAGAAGAGAGTCCTAAACATTGGGAATTACTCAACATACAACATCTTTCAAAGACTATACTTTCTAATGCTATGTAATACTTTCTAATTCTATGTAAATACTCATAGCAATTTGTTCCCTACAAGTTCAGTATCATTATATCTCATCTCCAAAAACAATATACATGAATAAACAAAAACATCCTTCTAAAAAACCAAGATTTTCAGGAAGATGAAATAAAATAAGATCATTTAAGAAAACATGTAGCAATACATATGGCACAGACTTCTAGGAAAAAAGTCAGTATCGAGTAGCAAAATGTACATTCCTATTAATCACTTCAAGAAAAGTCCCATTAAACTGAAAGGCAATAAGAATGATTTATATATTCTAAAGACACTACCACCCAGTGACCTGTAAATTCACTGATATAAGGTGTAAAAGTTTGGGTTCTACAAAAGAGTTAGCTAGGCAGGCATGTACATTTTATTTGATATCATCATTCTTTCCAACAGCAGCTAACCACTAGCTAACCATTATTAGAAAGATACTTGTTCAGAGGATAGTTATTTCACAATGTAACTATAATAAGATTTCTTACGTCTATCTCTGAAGCATCCCCTACTCACCTTGGTCTGACAGATGAACCCCTGCCAGGTGTCTGTAATTCCAAAACTGCTGCAAAGCTTCTTATAATATCATACACATTTCAAATAAACCCTCTATTACATATCAAGTGCTGAATCCACCCAAAGCCAAACTTCATATCCTATGTATCCAAAATGATCAGTGCAAAGTCTAGGGCCATGCATATTCCAGAACAACAAAGCAAAGCAGCTTCATACAGACTCTTCCAGCTCCCAAGGCAAGTATTTGATCCAATCAACTCTCAGTTATGATTAGACACATCATAAGGAAAACACTTCTGCAGCTATACCATAGGTCTCGGTGGTGATCCGGCGCTGGGCATACGTGGCTAGCCCCTCACTCAGCCACATCTCTTCCCAAGTAGCATTGGTGACCGCATTTCCAAACCAGCTGTGCGCAACTTCATGAATGACATCAATTATTAGAAATTCATCGCTCTCCAGAATGGAAGAGATTATGAAGGTCAGGCATGGGTTTTCCATGGCAACAATAGGGAAGGATGGAGGAAGAAAAACAATGTCATATCTAAAATATGAGAGAGAGAGAGAGAGAAAGAGAGAGAGAGAGGGAGGGAGAGAGACAGAGAGAAAAAGAGGAAGAGAGGAGATAGGTAAATTACAGCTATTTCAAAAGACATGCACAGAAACATTTCTTATCGTGAGGGAAAGCTCTTCTGACAGTCTTTGTGAGTCCAGAATTAAACCTTCTAGGCCAATGGGCCTAATTCTTCTGGTCAGTGGATCACAGATTTTATTTTGATAGCCAAGGAACTGCACAGCTTTCGACATAAGATTAGACATTCTTTTCATGTGCAGCAGGTCCAACAGTCACCAGAAGCATCAGGCTCCCTTCATAGAGGCAAACTGATCAAAATTTGTGTGTCCAATAGCCAGAACTACTAAGTTTACTCTACATGTATTGCTCACATACATACACAGATTCTTGTCCCATCCCTGGAGGCTCCCAGCAAAAAGAGAAGCCGGGAGGCTGTTGAGTGGTTGAACTGTCCCAGGAGAACACCACCCACTTCCATGATCCCTTCTGCCAAGGGGAGGGCCAAGACTCCAGAGTTTGTTTCTGACTACTACATTGTCACCCATGAGATGCTGGCTTTCCCGCTATTACCAACATAGGGAGAAAGCACCGTCATTTCTTAGATTGCTTTACTTTGTCCCCAGTACACATCCCTGGGAGACTTAAACTCACCTTCCCCATATATAAGGCCCATAAAGACTCTCTGCAGCGCTCAACCAACGCTCTACCATGCCGGAAAGCTTGCTGATGGCTGTCGGCAGCAGGCAGGGCTCTGCCCACACTCTGCTCCTGTCAGGAAACAAGAAACATCACGTGATACTTCCATAAATCAAATTCTCTCTCAAACAGAATAACCTGTCTTCTTGCCAAACTTCTGTGTATGACAATATTGCTAAGGGGCTTCACCTCAATCATCCTTCTTTAGGCTAACGCTCTGTGGATGCATGGCAAAAGATGATCAATGATTCAAAGATCATTTGATTCACCTGAAGGCAATAAAGCACATAGCTGTAATGACTAAGGTGGACAATAAGATATATCTATGAAAGAGGAATCTCTTTCATCTTACAGTGCAATATTGTAATTTTTTCTTTACATCTAAACAAAGTTTAAGCTCTCCAAAGGTTCACAGCTCCTGGTCCTGTCTGTTCCTTTACCAATGACTCAAAGTATCCCAAATGGCCCCACAGCAACCCACAGAGACCTGAAAAGCAGAATCAACTGGCTGTAAATCTTACCTTGGGCCTATGTCTGCATGTATAAGATCTCCTGCCACCAGGGCCACTAGGTAGGCAGGAACTGGATATTCCATGTAAAACTGGTATACACCTTCCTCTTCTAAGTAGGTACTTTGAGTAGCACTCATCAACACCTGGATGCCTGCTGGAGCCTGAAGAAACAAAAATCATACACACCAACTCACCAGACGATCACAGCTGAGGTGCGATACCATCGACCTCTCTTTTTTAATGTAAATCCTTTTAGGAATGGATTAACAAAAATCATTTCAATAATATATAAAACATAAGGCTTCTGTGGTTTTTGTACCACAAACTATCCCCCATGAAAATGGACCAGCCAAATATACTACTGCTCAATTGTGTGGGAACTCATAACATTATTTTATCTACCCAAAATACAACATTATTTGATGTTGCTTTCATAAACATGTTTTTTGTTCTCTCAAGAATTGTTTAAATATATAATTTAAACAATTATTTAAAATTTGAGTATTGTCATCAGTAACCACTACTGAAAGTGACCAACCGAATTCTCTCTCTTTCATATTATCTATTTCAGGGTTATTCTTTCAGTGTGGGGTTCTGAGAATGCAAGACCCAAGTGTAATAGGCAATACAGTCACTTTTATGACACTACTCTGCTTTTGTCTGGAGAACCAGACTATGAAATCTAAAAATCCCGTAATTTATATTGTATTAGTTATGGTATATAGTTATATTTTATATAATATATACATACACAACATGCTTCCATAAAGTAAGGGCAGTAAAGCGCCTGATTAACCACTTATATCACTTCACCTACCTTAACAGTAGCTGAGTAGGTGCATTTCACTGCTGGTGTGTCGAAGCAGGGGAAGAAGGAGCGGTTACACACCGAGTGGCCCTGCGTGAAGACGAACGGCTTGGCATTGCCGTACGTCAGCTCTGGATCCAGCCACCAAATCTGTTGGCACAGAGGTGAGGGAAAGGCACAAAATGAAAAGGGATGCACTGAAATCAAGGGGGCTGTTAGGGAGGACGGATTCTCCATCTGCTTCGCTAACCATTAGTTCCTCACATACATACGTAGCACAGGGCACTTTTTCACTTCTGAGAAGCCACCTTCCTGCTCCTGCTTCTCCACCGTGATGCTCAGGGTGGTTTTGCACTGTCTGAACACTGGGTGATGCTGCACAACACAGCATCTTCCAGGCCCCTATTTCCATTATATTGATTTGCTTGATTAACAAGAGCTCCCTAAGAGCTCTTAATAAAAGCTCCCTTCTGAGACTGAGTACCCTGAATAGCTCCATGTCATTATTCAACATGAACGGGAATACGGGGGTAAGGTAGTACAAGCTGAAAAACAAAAAAGAGGCCGAACAGCGTACACAACATTATCTGTGACCCTGAGAGTGCCCTTCTGGCTGAAGCACCGAATATTTTGCCACTATGCAAAAGAGGCAGCATATGCAAGAAACATCTGGTCAGGGACACTGGAAGCCTCTTTCTAAAGAAGGAATAAGGAGATGGTGGGTGGTCACACACACAAAAAAATAAAAAAAAAGGCAAACAAACCCACACACTGAGCTTGTCTCTATTTTTGGTATCAAACAGCAAATAAATAATCATTTGGAACTTCAGCAAATCATTAGAAGAGATTAAGAATAATACGAAGTGCAGCTTTTTTTGTGTATTTTTCTATTTCAAATGTGGTATTTGTGCTTTTACTCACTCCCTGCCCCCAGCTTTGAAGGGCAGGAACAATTGTAAATAAGGATTTTCTTATAATCCTGCAACTCTGGAGATGAACTTCTATAGAAAATATCAACTATTATGAAGCTTCCCATAAAGCTGGAACCGCTAGAAATCCTTGGAACAGTCAAGCAGAAGGAATAAAGCTGTTGAGTCTGCTAAATTCTTAGATCAAAGTAGCCAATAAATCTAAATTTAAGGAACAGCAGTTAGCACAGACACTAGTTCAGTTCTGATTCACAAGAGAAAGCTATGAAATACTTGGAAAGAGAAGCCTGGGTACTCGGCCTCCTCCTGGTTTAATGGCATGGTACTGTTTTGTCTCCTACTATTCACAGTTAACCCCTGCGTGTTCCAAATACCAGAGGCTTCTCTCTCCCCTCCTGTCCTACAAGGTTATTCCAGTCAGGTTATTCTTCCCCTGCCTTTAGATCCTTCTCAGATGCCACCGTGAGCCTCTCCCAAGTCACCTGCTCCAGCAAAAACTTTGGGGATCAGTGAAAGCTTTGGAAAGGAAAGCTACTTTCGTCAGCTTTCCATTCTTTGTATAGAAGCTCACATTTCTGCTGGGAAATGGCTATTTGGGAGTGAGAGGCACCAACATAATTTAAAATGCTTATCTAAAACTCACAGCATCGTTCTCAACTTGGAATTTGTTTTAAAACTACTCTTTCTGTTTCAATGCTGCAGACCAGAAACTGGCCCCTTTCAAAGCATCCCATCTCCTGACAGATGTTACCTCACTTGCATGCGAGAGCAGGGACTGTCACTCTTCAAATCCATGTGCTGTATTTCAGCATGTCACTGGCCAAACCCCGGCATCGCAGCCGACCTCCCACTCCATGGATACCTGTGCTTCATGGCAAGGAGCATTCCCTCTACAGTATGATATTGTGGACATTTGGGGACAGATCTGTCATTAAAATCACCTGCTTGAAACTTAAAGCTTCTCCCCAGAACATACGTTCAAATGAACTACAATTTCTGCATATACTTCTACTAGAAAAACATTTTCTTTGCGGCGAGAGGCCCAACAAAATCTAAAAACAAAAGTAAAAATAGTCTCAGAGCAATATTCTGTACTTGGAATTTGTTTTAAGACAGCCCTTCTTGCTGCAATCCTGCAGGCCAAACACTGCCTCACTCACACCATGAGAGCTGAGGATGCAGAAAATACAATGTGAAAGACCTGTCCCATTACCAACTTTCAGAAACGCACTTCTGACCCGTCTTTTTGGGTTCACAGCACAATTTACGATTTGTTTTCTTGGCCTCGCTGGACAGCCACCTTGAAGAGGTTCTGCTTCCTTTGCTTTCTGAGAGACAGAAAAGGCCAACAAAGAAAACGGAAACAAGATGTCACTAGAACTCAGTTACAGCACTAGAGTAGGAAGGGAAAAGGATTGACAGACAATGTCTTTAAAGCAGGGAGAGATAAAGGGGAAGTTCTCTCTGACCAGCACAGGAAGAAAACATAAGCAGGAAGGCAAAAGGGAACCAAGAAGTTGATTCTTGTTTACATGAAACTCCATAAATTAGAGACAACTTATTTTCAGCCAGTCACCCCTTATCTGACAACTGGCTGAAGTTAAATGAAGCACCAGCCTCAGTCCTATGGGCCAAGAAGGAAAATGTTTTGCAGAGGATGAAGTATTTTTTCCCTGTTCCCTAATGTCTGCTGCTACATTGCGAGCCTCAGTCTCTCTTTCCAGATGCACTTGGAACAATGATGAAAGTTATCCTGAAACAATATAAATAGACCTGCAGTATAAATAGACCAGGCAACACTGCCAGACAGAGGCAGGGCTAGAACTGGGAAAAATGAGTCGAAGCAGGAACTCGGAAAGGAGGACGAGTAGCAGGAGCAGCTCAGGGCGGGTAGAGCAGTATCTGAGGCCATATCATCTACTCAACACCCCAGCCCTGCCTGTGTTCCCTCTAGGAACACATGCTCTTCATTTTCATCTAGTTTTTCACATATAGAGGAGAGCAGCTGTTTCAAATGTTAAAATACCCCACAAGAACTGCTAGGTAACAACTGCCTCTTTTCCCCCTGCTGAAAAACAGGTGGCTTTGGACAGTTCAGGTTTCTTCCTGCCCACATACTGCAAAGCAGCATGTATTTTATAACACACCACCCTAGAACATGATTTTTATTGACTTAGATTATAATCTTTTACGTGAATCTGGCAAACGCAAGAGGCAACTAGCTGAGCTCCTTTCAATCTAAAATCTCTCCTTGTTACTACCTGCATATTACGAACCAAGCTCCTCAGAAGAGAGGCAATGCCACAGCTTCTACTCCAGTGGGAAACAGCTGGTTACAAGTAAACTGCGCATCTGAGATGTAGAAGATGTGACAGAAGAGACAAACTTAGGAGCAAGTCATTCCAGGAGGTCTGAAGAATCAGGACAACCCTAATGGAACAACAGGGAAGCTTCCAGCCCTGCAGAAAGGCTGTCCTTCTTGCTAAACCATACGGATGAGGAAATGCTATCACTTTTCATACCAGAACAGGCCAAGGTTTGCATTTAAGGTTGTCATGGAAAGAAAATAGCATTGGTGTTAATATATCCACTGCCAAATCAGAGGCGTGACACAGTGGGAAAGAGACACATGCATGTTTTTCTCTCCGGGAAAGGAGAAAAGTCTGAGGAAAGAATATACATAGTACTGAGAAGTAAGAGGCAGGGGAGAGGAAGGAGGAGCTGGGCTACTCTCACCAATACACCTGCTCTGAGTTTGCCCTCAGCCCACACCACGACATATCCACAGTGTTTAAGATTTCTGAAGTGAAAAGGTGACGTACAGAGCACGTGGCTTCCTAACAGCATAGGGCACTGGAACGTTCTGTGAAAGGCAGATTTAATCTCTCAGCTGTCTCTCAATGTCCATCAAATACTAAAGATCTTGGCTCCTTTTTCTACATGAGAAATAATGGGCAGTCCAATAACGCAAACCAAGTTTATCAAGGCAGCAGGGTTCCAATTTTAAACAGACTACTCTCTAATCTAGTGATCCTGCTGCCAGTAATATCTTCACTGAACATTAATTTACTGTTTTATAGGTCCCAAAACTGGCCCAAAGAAAGCAAATCCTGCCATAAAAAGATCATATTCAGAGAAAGGCCCAAGAAGAAAGAACTTGCAGAAGAGAAAGGTCTGACACTGTAAACTTGCTTCATTTGTACAGAGAAAAGAGTCTGCGAGGACACGCACTAGGTGTGAATACAAACCAGGCGCCCTTACACACACACACAGGTTGCTCATACCCATTGAAGGGCAACACTAGGCTTAAAAAACAGCAGCACCACAATAGCACCAAAAAGCTTGGGAGCCAAAAGTATAGCTTGAAGTGCTCCAAGAAACATTAAGGGCTAGAACAGGTGCTATTCAAGCACAAATGTTTTGCCTGTGTCTACAATAACATGTGCAAGCTAGAAAACACAGCCCAGTTTATGTCAGTAATGCCTGCCGCTGCCTTGAGGAGCACTTGAAAAGGGCAGCACATGCCCCGACTTTGCAATCATCAATAACCTTTTGACACTAGTCCTTATAGTTTTATTTCAGCTGAAGCAGTAGGTGCTGTTAAAGGCACAACAAAGACTTTGCAAGCCCAGGTGAAGAGTAGCTCACATCTGATCCAGGGAAGCAAGACAAACAAGATGGGGAATGGAAAAAATCCTCAGATACGTAACCTTTGCACTGGATGGCACGCAGGGTCAAGGAGAGAGCGTGCTGAAGCAAGGTGAGACTAAACGAGCACATCAGTGCTCCACACTTCCCAGTAGTTCTCCAATCTCTCAAAGCAAAGCCTCAGTCAGGATTCAGACACATCCGTGATCATTCCTCGATGCAACCAGCAAGATAATTGTCCACAGAGCTGGCAAAACCCAGGAGAAAACCCAGGCCAGGCTGAAATAAAGCCACTTGTTCAACAGGAGAGGAGCACAGCACGGGGTGCTGCCGGAGGCTCAGCCCAGCCAGATCAGAGTCATCCTACGGGGCACAGCTACATCTGACTGCACAGCCCTCCCCATAAACAAAGCGCTCGGAGGGCGAAACAAGCAGGTTTCTCCAGAAAATTGTGCAAGAATAAAGAACAGAATCTTCTGAGCAGCGCAGTCCCTGACAGACAGCTCCAACGTTTCTCCTTAGTGCAGAGAAACTACAGCAAAGCACTGTGCAAGGAAACAGCACAAC